TCACCCAGGGAGCTCAGATTGTAAAAGCTTTAACAACACAATTGTCATGTGGAGGAAAAGGAAAGCTGTAAAAGTATTGTCATTGTTTTTTCCATGACTTCAGTAAATTACTTTTGAAATATAAGAGCAGCAGGTACCATTTCTTTTTTTTGTGCTCCAGTGGGATGTCTGTTGTTTGGTCATGTGTGTGCATGCATGCGTGTATCTGTTTGTCTGACCTACTGGTCCCATCAACCTAATATTTTTCTGTACTTTTATGATTGAATGCTCAAGGACCTCTCATGGCTGTGATGATTCACAGTTTTTGAACAATTTTACTGAATGCTCTGTTTTATACTTTCATTGACTGCTGACTCCCTGCTCCTCTTAACAAGTCAGTAGGGGCCACAGGTGATCAACAACATCACATGGCAAAAAGACTTATAGCCATCAGCAAGGCTAAAAACAGCAAGTCATACATAGTCTGTTCAAGGCCACATTTTGGCCTTTGTGGTGGCTCAAAAACTGACATCCATAGAAAGTATTTTATCATTTGGAACCAAAGCATCTGCAGATTAATTCCATACCTGATATGTTGCTAGCCTTTGAAACTAATGCAAAAATGATACAAGATGTATAAAATCTTTTTTCTTTGTTTTTTGTTATCTTTGCCGTCATCTTGATTATAACCCCATGATTCTACGGGGGGCAGCTGTGGTGAGTTCCATCAGCAACATGGCGACTAGAGCTGATTGCAGCCACTCTATCAACTCGTCTTTGTTTGGGCGGGGAGGTGGGAAGGGGTTTTATTGGGCATTGTGTCATAAGTTTGTTTCCATATACCCTTTCTATTGTGGTTACACCTTATTGATGTAACCAACAGATTATCTCCCCTTTACTCCATTACTGTCATACATACACACTGGACACCCTGAGTGCACTTTTCTAGTTTAATATTAGTCCAGTATTCCAATGTTTACTTTTATTAAGCTAATTATGCCGTACATGAACATAGAAGTGGACCTCTGAGTGACTCTGCAGGGCCTGATCGTTTAAAGTTATATGATGTGCTTGAGAATCTACTCATCTGTGTCTGTTCTGTCTGTGTCAATCTGTCACTTTACACTTTCTCCACATTCACCACATTCATAGTGTCACGAAACAGACAGAATGACAGCAGATAGTCACTCTCACTCACTCTCTGACACACACACACTCACACACCTACATGTACACACACACACACACACACACACACACACTACTGGGGCATTAGTCAGCTAGGATTCCCCCTGCGCTGCAAATGATCTGTGAAAATCATACAGAAAACCTGTGCCAGTCTTGAACAAAGACACACACACACACACACACACACACACACACACACACACACACACGCGTATGCACATATCCGCAAATAGAAGTGTGCAAAGGTGCTTGCTCTTTTGCCAGATCTCTTTCACACACACATGCACACGTGGCACAACCAAGGGGCAGATATCTTTGATAGGTGCCCAGGTTTGATGGCCTGTTACTGGCAGAGGCTTTTAGAGAGGCTGGTGGTACCTCAGTGTCTAGTTTCCTGCTGGGCCCTTTGTCCCAATCTGTGGGTTGTCGTTTTATAAATGAGGGTGTCCACGGGGAGATGAAAGGAATGGAAACAGGTGAGCACTTCACAGAGCACAGTGCTGAATCACTGAGAAAATCGCAAATAACAGACACAGAAATACCTCAGTGCATTAGAATAAGCAGCTTAGCCAGGTCAGACACAATATAAGGAGGTCTAATATTATGTTTTTTAAATACTCAAATACTAAATAATGATTGCATGCATTTTACTGTATTTTACAATATTAAAAATGAGTGGAGATGTATAGGTTTATCCCAAATGTGATTAATAAAAGTAATAAAATAATGCATTAATGTATTTTATAGTAAAGGGGTGGCATGCTGGTGCAGTGGTTAGCATTAGTGGTTAGTCACCTCACAGCAAGAGTGCTCCTGGTTCCAACTACAGGTGCGTTCAGCGTGGGTTTCCTCCCACAATCCAAAAACATGCAGGTTAGGCTAATTTGGTGACTCTAAATTTGCTGTAGGTGTGAATGTGAGTGTGAATGGTTGTCTGGCTCTAAGCGCCCGTCCCAATACCCCCCCTTTAGCCCTACCCCTTGGCCCTACCCCTACATTTGTGCGTTCCCGTGAGGGGTAGTGGTGTCCCAATTCCTTTTTGCGTGTAGGGGTAGGGGGCATAACGAGGGGTAGTGGGTATGAAACTAGCCCTTTGGAGCAAGGGATTTCAGATGCTGACTTGCCAGCGAGGGGTAGACGTCGCCATGGATACCACTGTGCATGAGACAGGGAAAAAAGTTCATACATAGCTAAAGTTACCGTCATCAGGTTGCTTGTTATCTAGCTAGCTAGCTAGCTTGCACTATCTGGTGTCTGTCATCTTTCTGCAAAATTGTCGGACTTTTCACATTACGATAACATGCCAGCTAGTATAACTATGCTGCCTCATAATGTTAGCTGGTTAGCTAGCTAGCAGAAGTCCCGTCATCTGTCGTTAATCAAATGAAGCATGATGAATGTGGCAAACACGATTGGTAGGATGAATGAGACTCCATTGTAGATGCCGGTTGGACATGTAGATGGCTCGCAGCTTCCTGTTTAAAATAGTTACGTATGCGTGAATGTAACCGACGCGGTGACGTAGTGAGTGGTGTCCCAATTCCTAGAGAAAGATTTCTACCCCTACCCCTCGTTGCTTCATTTTGAGGGCTAAGGGGTAGTGGGCAATGGCTAGGGGTAGTGCCAAAGGCTAAGGGGTAGTGGACAAGGGGGGGTATTGGGATTGGGTTTAAGTGTCAGTCCAGCAACCTGTCCAGGGTGTACCTTCTCTCACCCAATGTCAGCAGGGATAGGCTTCATTCCCCCTGTGACTCCCAACAGAATAAGCGCTTACGGAAAATGAATGAATGAGCTCATTTTCCAAGACCATTGACTGACTGACTGATTTATGGATTATCAGATACATGTTAGAGTGAAGATGCTTGTTTCTAACATGGTCAAAAGATGTTAAAAGCCAAAGCAAGAAACAAAGGAGCACAAGACACTCAACTTAAAAACTAAAGACACAATCCTGAGGTCAAAAAAACATCAGCAAAAAAATCTAAACACAGCTACAATAACAATGTCATAATCTTTTACCCTGTTCTGTAAAAAGAAGTCCTACTCCTCTCATATTTAAACATACCATCGTTTTAAACATATGATGTCACTGAACAAAGACACACTTTCATTTGGTGTATTTCAAAGCATTTTTGCAGGTCTGATCTGTGTTGCTATTGCATATTCATTATAAACTACTCCGTCTTTTGCACAGGTATCACAACTAACAGAATACTCAAACACATAGAAATGTGATGTTGAAGCCCTTCAGCAAATTTTGCAGCTTTGTATTTTTTTTAAACTATTGTGAAGATGATTTGATGAAACATCTGTAGTCACAAGTGTTCACATGAAAGTTTCAGTGTCGCACCCATTCTGACTCACCCTTCTTTCCCGTCACATTCAGGCAAGCTTTCTGCACACTGTACCTAGCTTCAAAGCATGCAAGACACAGTTACATCACATCCCACGAATTGGTAAATCTTCCCATGCCCTTGAGACTCACCTTTCATTTGAAAAAAAGCAAGCTGTACTCTCTTGCAATTCGTGTGTTTGTTTGTTTTTTGGAGTCACAAAAATTACCTGAACAAGTTCAAGTTGCCTCTGTGTGTTTATGTGCCAGTCTTTTCCCGGAGCTCTAACCTTCAAACTAGAAAAGTGCTCTGATGGTGTGCTGAAGCTGCACTCACTTAGATGCAAGTCCAGATGCGAGTGTGTGTGTGTGTGTGTGCATGCATGTGTGTGACGCAGCCCTCGTGTGACAGCTGTGCCCTTTTCAACGGCGCTCAAAAATCAAGCATGCTTATCCACACATTGTTTCTCTCAAACATCTCAAGCAAAGATATATTAAATACAAATGCCTCCCTCCGTCACATGGGCCCAACTGAAGTAAGGAATACAGTGGCTGCTCTCCCAGCTCACCTCTTTTCTACAGCTTGCACCATGCTTTCTTGAAAGGGTGCAGCAGGTTTGACACTGGAGAAAGAAAGTGAGGGACAGGGGCAGAGTGGAGAAAAAAGGGAAGGAGAGAGGTAAGCTAGAAAGGCAGGAAAAGGGGGGAAAAGGCTATCCTGCTGTTGGCAGAAATTGTATCCATGATGTTTGAAGTCCGCAACATTCCAATTGGGCTGCAAAGAATCGGGATTACACACACACACATACACACAACTCTGCCCTGTAAGAGATAGAGGCAAGGAGCGAGGAGGAGGGGATAGAGAAGGAGGGATGGTGATGAGGAGTGAAAGTGGCAGTGAGTTTTGGAGAGATGGCAGAAACCAGGGGAGAGCAGCCTCCATGCTTGTGACAGCAGCTGAAATCCTATCCACTGAAGGAAAAGAGAAGGAAAACGAGGCGAGTGGGGGGGGGAAGAGATAAAACTGACAGAAGTAATATATATAAAATAATGTGTGAGAGAATCACAGCCAGAGAGGGGGGATGGCAAAACACGCAGATTGTTTGGACATTTGTGCTCGTTAGAAGCCATGATCAATAGGCAACTGTTTGGACGGTTTGGTCAGTGTGGGTGGGTGATTCAGCCAACAAACAGCACTCGTTTGCCCTTATTTACAGTTGTGTCCCAGTTACCAAATCCCATCCCTGCCACACATAATTTTGCAAATGTTTTGCACAGAAAAGGCGACAACATCATACAAACTGAAGGTTATTTTAACACTATGAAGAATTTTTGCTTTCATAAAACTACCATGTGGGTTCCTGGTCACTTATTACTTGTGTGTGGCAGAAAAAGGTCTTAATAAAGAAGCTTCTGTGGGCATAATAACCAGTATCTCGACCTGCAGCAATACAGTGGCTCTTCGTGTGTTTATTTTTTGTTCCTTTGCTATGTTTTACAGACCTTGACACGCCTGTTTTGACGGTGCACCAGACCATCAGCGATGTGCGTGGCAGTTACTACCAGGAGAAGACGGTGTTCTTGCGCTGCACAGTCAACTCCAACCCTCCCGCACGGTTCATATGGAAACGTGGGAGCACGCTCATCGAACAGAGCAAGGACAACGGAGTGGACATCTACGAACCGCTTTACACTCAGGTACACATGAGCACATAAACAGCGCGGACACAAGGCCAGGTGTGCCGTCACTCTCCACTTACTGCTCTGCCCTTTTTTAAAGATTGCCTCACAAAATCCTCCCCACTTTATCCTCCTTTACCCCTGGTCTTGAGGAGAATTTTTCACTTTGAATCTTTTTCTGTCTAACATTAATTGCTTACATAAACACTGCAGTGCACTGTGGTTGTGACCCTGGCTTGTGACCAAGCTTTGTTAAAACAAGCTCTGACTAGTATAACACATTCACTGTCTGTGAAGTGTTTCGCCACTGTGTGGTGAAGCTGGTCCTGGATGCTATATCAGAGCTAGGTTAACATCATCATCTCCACCCTGTCCTTTATTTGATTTGGGGACATTTATCAACCCCAGCCAAACTTGATATTTGATATTATGTCACGTTCACCAAACATACTGTAGGAGCTAAGCCTATTACTTGCAGCTAGAGATGTTTCACCCGGACTGACCTGGCTGACGCGCTTCCCCATTTGATGCCACAGCTTCCTTGGTGCAGTTTCCAGCTGCAGAAAAATCATCGTATTTATTCATACCAGCAAACACAGTTTGAATAAGTGTCCATTTCTTTATCTTTCATCCAAACCGAACACGCAGCTTTCAGCACGTTTCCCACTGTCCTGCACCACAGCGGTCAAAACCCTTTTGCCCTTCCGAGGTGAAACACTTGACGGGAACAATGTTGTTTCTACCTTTATAAACTAAAGCTCCAAATACCAAATACCATACCAGCACCACACAGTGTACATAAATGAGTGAAGTGACATATTCAGCTCTTACACATACTATAGTCCCCCTCAAAACCTTTTCTCTTGTAACTTCAAAAGGGAAACATACTTTTTGAAAATATGAAAAGTATAAATCTAACCTGTGTCTTGCTACACTAAAAGTCAGCCAGCTCAGGAAGCTAACGTTAGCTTGACTAGCTAGCTGAAGCTGATAAAATCTGTAATCTTCAGCATTACAACTGAAGAAAAAGAACTATGCTTGCAGGATAGAAATGGATAGAAATCTCCCACCATTATCACTGTAAAAAGCATGTGTTCCATATGAGAACAGAAAGCTTGACAGGTTTAACAATGGTAACTATGCAGAAAAAAGACCAAAGGCCTTTGCACAATGAGTACATGTTTTGTGTGCAGCAACCTTGGACGCTGAGAGTGCATTTTATTGCATTTCCAGATAGGCTAACTTTACCTTCTCTTTATTATTATATATATATATATATATATATATTATATCTCTTATTTGCTGGCCCACTGTCCACTATTGCTGTGTTCCTCTCTCTTGTTGTGGATGCTTGTGTCCTTCAGGTTAGGCCACGTTTTCTTTCGACCAGTTCTTTGGCAAACAACTCTCTAAAGCTCTTGATGGATGCAAATAATTAAAAAAATTGAACCTGTTGAAAATTTGATGATGGTTAAAAGTGTTTGAGACAGTGTGTACACGTGATTGACACAACATGAGGTCATATTTATTTTCAAACATACGACAATTTCGGAAAAATATGGACCTGGTGTGCAAAGGCCTTAAGAGAACAGTCAACTGCGCACTCCTCAGATTTTGTCTTTACCTTCAGTATCAGAGTAAACCAGGTAATTGTTGCTCGTACAGTGCAAATAGAAACAGCAACTAGTCAAAGCAGAGGGATTTTAGAGCACACTCTTCACATTAGCACAACTGCTCCCTTTTTCTCCACTTTCCAAAGCATCAGTCAGCCACACAGCAGTGCCCCTCGAGTTCAATTAGCCAACCAGAAGAGCTGTTCCCAGGGCTGCACCAGACACTGTTTGCCCATCACCTCCTACTGTTGCAGGCAGAGAGTCATTCAGTATCAGACGCAAAGTCTTGATCTGAAAAACCATCAGGGATGTTGAAAGAGATATGTGTCTTTTTCTGTGTGTCCAAGAGAGCGTGCACACTGTGTCTACATGAGACGCACAGAGAAAGCTTCTGGAGTTGCAAGAGACATCGTGTTATGAGTAGCCGGGGAGAGAGGATGGATGGATTTAGCTTTTATTTTGGCACTGACTATCAGATCGCTTTCATTTTCCTAATGGTCTCATGTGAAAGCCATTTGAAATGCATCATTCATATTGCTCTATATGTAGATTTGAGATGCTTCAGTTGATAATCAGGGCATGTCAGATATACAAACGGTGTGTGTGTGTGTGTGTGTGTGTGTGTGTGTGTGTGTTTATCTCAGTGTGTCTTTGACCCTGTTTATCAAACTGCGGCTCATGAAAAATTGAAGTCACTTTTACACAAGATTACAACCCAGTTTAGAACAGGCTGCGCTTTCTCATTGATGCAGTGTTATGTGTTATGTAGGCCTATGGAAATATGTGTCCCATTAAAGATTTTATGGTCAAATAGTTTTTATATTTTAGCATGATATTGTCATGTGTGTGTGTGTTTTGTCCCATCCAGGGTGAGACCAAGGTGCTGAAGCTGAAAAACCTCAGACCCAAAGACTTTGCTGATTACACGTGCCAGGTGTCCGTCCGCAATGTGTGTAACATCGAAGACAAGTCAGTCACCTTCAGGCTCACCAATGCCACATGTAAGTTTTTGGATCGTTCCTTTAAAAAAAACACACCAACACAAATGAATACTTACGTCCTTGCTGACATGTGCATGCCTTCACGAAGCCAAGCTTTTCTCCTCCGCTATCATTTCCTTGCTTCGACTTATGTTGTCTCTTTCTTTGATTCTCCCATCTCATCTGACTTTTCTCTGCATGCTCGTTGTCTCTTGGCTCGGGAATCTCTTGCTGCCTGTCTCTTTTTCTCACTGTTAAAACGTCTCCCATCTTTACCCGTGCCTCCTTTCATCCTCTCATTTCCTCACTTCCTTTAATCTAACTCTCTCTCCGTCTTCTTTTCCTTTCTTTCCCTGAGTTTTACCTCTACCCTTTGACTCTCCACTCGGATTTTGCTCTCAGCCTCTCTGTCTCCGCGCCTGCCTCCCAGCGTGCCATGTTGTCTATCTGTCTTGTTTTTCCGTTGCTGAGAGCTCATCTCAAGGCCGTCAGCTGTAATTCAGTTGTCACACTCCCTGTTATCTCCAATTCACTCTACACAGCTCTGTCCATCTCCACGCCACCGCCCCAGCAACTCTGCTACTTACGACAACATTGTTGCCGTTGACAACACTGTCATGACTGTTAAGGTCAAACTGATTCACCACAGGGGAAAGCCCTGCGTTTTTTTCTGTTGTGTTTATTTTCTCGACTTCTCTCCCTTTCCTCTTGCTTCATTTTCTAAATGACAGCCAGCCTTGGAAATCTTGCAAGACAATGAATTGTTTTATAGCGTTTTATTGAAGTGTTTTCCAAACCCATTATCAGTTATATTGAAATCCTTTTAGTAGCATGAGTATATTAATATGGAAGGTCCTTGTTGTCATTTTTTATGAAACATATGTCCTACATGCTCAAGAGCCATTTGAAGATAGCAGGACTGTTCAGGGCTTCTTATCTTAATCCAGTATTTTTCAAGGTCAGAGGGCTGGAATAGATATGAACTGAAAATGTGGATACAGCAAAGTAATGTAATGCTTGCTTTAACTGAAAGGAGGCTTTAGGTTAGAAAAGCAGCCTTTCGACCAAAACATAGCTTCTTTGAATCCCCAAACTGGTGGTGAAAATGAAAGATTAATACTCCCTTAAAGGAGTTTGACATTTTGGAATATACACGTTTATGCTTTGTTGCCCAGAGTGAGATTATACAATTGATGCACTCATATATCTCTCAGTTAAATACGACGCTACAGCTGTCAGCCTGGTGGCATGGCTTAGCACGAGGACTGGAAACAGTCTTGCTTATAAATTAAGATGTGTGTGTATGTTTGTATAGCCCCGTTTCCACTAAACACTTTCAGTATGGTACCTTTAGAACCAAAAGTAACCCTTCAGACATGGTACCTAGACCCTAGTGTTTCAAGTGCAAACAGTATGCTTAAATGTGTGTGGGTGTGGGGGGTGTTGTCACTCGCTGCTCCGTCCAACACTCACACATCTGACACAGATGGAGGTCTGAACCTCGTTTATTGTCCACAAAACAAGGCTGCACGCAGACATTTTCAGAACAAAGTAAAACAGGATACAGTGAGAGTCTCTCTCAATGGGATATTTAAAAATAGAGGGTTTGTGCATTGAGTCCTTCTCAGGCAAGCTCAGGGGTTTAGTGTTGCCAGAGCCCACAGGAACAACATTCTGTGATGCTTTTTTTTTTTTTTGTCATCTCCAAGTGAGGATTAGAATATATGCAGTTGACATAACCTGGTCGAAATTAATATATATAAACACTTGAAGATCCACTTATTACTAAAAGTGTGTGTCATACAAAAACTAAAATAATGGTCAAAGTTGTTTCACGTCATCAAGTCATGCATTGAGTAACATTACAAGTTAAAGTTCCACCTTATATTCAATTAAGTTATTCTTTCTCAGACAGCTGCTGCAAGAGGCAGCAAAACATCCTTATATTTTATAGTTACAGTCTACTAATGACACTCTTCACGGTATGAACAGTGGTTACATGAGCCTCAAAACCAGCCACAACTCAGCCCTGAGCAGAGTGACTGTCCACTTTTGATCAATCAACAGACTGCAGTGTTCACAGCTACACCTTTTTGCACCAGATCTGTGTGCTAGGTACCCCAGCAGAAGGGGGACCAAAAATGGGGACAGTATGGAACAGTTCCATTGGTACCATCCACAACTTTTCAGTGTAAAAAGAAAAAAGCGTACCGAACTGAACTGTATGGCTCGGTGGAAACGGGGCTTTTGTATGTATGTATATTAGGGTTGGCTAAAAATTTTCAAACTGGTTTGATATTAAAAGAGTGGGCCGGTATACCAAATTTTAACAGGTGTCGTACTTGACTCAGCAGCAGTTTCCAAGTGTAACATAATGACACTGTGTCCCACAAGCAAACAAGTGTCTGACTATCATTTTGCATCACATGACATCAAGGCTCTCTGTCCACACTGAATCCATTAAATATGCACTTGTGTTACTTCATGTAAACAAACCAGTACATATCAGCTGTGCACAGGAAATTGTACTAAAGATGTAACCACTTTAAAGGTGCGTGAGTAGCCTACTTGCTATCTTCCTATGTTTCAACCACTAAACATAAAGACATTGAATATAACCTATAGCAAGTCATCTAGCAATGGTCATTTACCTATCAGAGACTTTCAGCTCTCTGGCGATCTCTCTTCAGCCAGCTGCACCTTATTCAGGTTTTAGTGACATAAGAAGGAATCTTACAGATAACTTCATGAATCAGCTTTTTCTTATCCATTGCAGTGCTTTTAAAGCATGCCACACTTATAAATAGAAACAGGGTATCTGACAAAGTTCAGCTCAAAATGGCAGCACTGCAGCACCCATAGCAAGTTAGGACACCTCTTTTGTCAGCTTTAAATCTCTTGAGAGACTAACTCTGCCATGTCTCCTCTCGTCACCCCAAAAAACACACAAACTTTCTAATGAACAAAGTGCACCACTTGTCCCCCTTACTGTACCTCTTGTACTGAAATGTAGTCTTCTTCATGTTGCCAAGCTCTGCAGTAAATTGTGCGCAGCCCGTCGGACACGATTGGTTTCGTCAGTCCATTTATAAACCAACATAAAATTATGTTAATCACAATGTCATATTGCTTATTCCTAATGCAATGAATGTTGGATTAAGTGTGGTGATGCTGTCGGCACAGGTTGCTGATGTAGGCTACTTTTTAATTTGCCACAAGTGTCATAATGACAAATTCCAGTTCAGCCAGTTTGCATAAAATCAATCAAAGCTCGTACATCAGACCACTGACAAAACTGGAAATGGACCCAACTCAAATCTATATATGTAGATATGTACAGTATGTATTTAATACACACAAAAGTTGTGCATAACCCTGGTAGCTTCACATGTACCGATTTATGAGGGTGTCATTGATCTTCTCATTTAGCTGTCAGCAAGAAAGCAAATAAGCAAGTCTCTTAAAATGTAAAACTATTCCTTTAACATGAAATTGCCCTTGAACAAGGCCCTTATCCATACCTGATAGAAGACGGTTGATGTGTGGTGCTATTCAGTTCTCATGTTGGGAATGATAGCTTTGAATGTGATGCAGGAACTGGTGATTAAGTGGATATTCCAAGGTTAGAAAAAACAGCAAACGTTGCGCTATGTTTTAATGATAGCCACGAGTCTCCATGACTTTTTACTTTTACCTTTTATTTACAGACTTTGAACTTAAGGAGAGGTTATCAATTGAGCAATATGGTGTCTTACAGATAAGAGATAAATGTTCCCAGGAGTCTTCTAAAGTGAGCTGAAGGTGGAGAAGATAAAAAAAAAGAGACTGTGATAAAGTTGAGAGGAGAGGAAACAGAGTCTGGCATCTCTGTGAAAGAGCGAGCATGAGAGAGGAGTGGTTGCAAACACACAGAGAAGGAGGAGGAAATGAAAGGGAGTGAAGTGGACAGAAAGTAAGAGATGGACGCTGCTTGCTGAAATGCTTCAGAAAAACAGAGTGACGCTAATGAATTAGCCCCAGGTGAATGAGACATGCTATCAATTAGAGCAGACAACACAGCGGACCAGAGATGATAAATGGTGCACTATGATAAAAGAGAAATGCTTTGAACACTGAGTGACAGAACACGAAACAAAATGGCTAAAACATTTATGGACTTCAAGCCCCAGTACAGATTAACACTGAACACTAACTGTGTCATGGTTCTGGTTTATCTCAACACATGAATGGCTTTTGAAAGTAAGTAAGTCAAGTTTATTTATAAAGCATGTTTAAAACCAACCAGAGTTGACCGAAGTGCTATATTAAAGTGAACGACCCAACAAGTCAGGAAAAAAAACAACAGCACCAAAAAAGCCACAATTACTATTAAGAATAGTAAGATCAGTTCATGAAAAATAAATGATTATAAAATATTTAAACTATTAAGAACAACCAAACGCCATTGTAACATGTACCCCTTGAGATTTGTCTTCAAAGTGTCAGTGCAGGGGTAACATTTGATCGACCACATCTCTTACCCACTGGCCTCTGTTGAGGAATAGTTAAAAACAAATATTCTGAAGACCCAGGCCTACAGTTGAATATGGGCAGAGAAGTTGTGAATTGTATAGGTATGCCAGCCCATGTATGGCTTTTAAAACAAATAAAAAATGTTTAAATAAATAAATAAATAAATGTATTTCACAGGTGCCAAACAGGGATATAGTGCCAGTGTAATACTGTCTCTTTCTTGGTACATGTGAGATGTCTTTCTAAAAATGTCTAATGTATACATGTATACATTACATACAGCTACATATGTTTACAGATTAGATATTGACCGATTTTTAATGGCCAATATAATGATGGTAGTTTTCAACAGGAAAAAGTCAATTGCCGATTAATTGGCCACTAACACCTGGATTTCTTTGTTTTTTCCTTACTATTGACACTACTTGGACAAGGAAAGTGTGTGCTTTAGCCTTTAATGAGTTTTTGCACATGCATTTTCTCCGAAAGGTGCTTTGGTTCGTGACTGC